TCTAGCCGCCGGGTAAACCGCAGGAGATTTTCGTGGTTTTCCTCTCTATGCAACACAAATGCGGATTAGTTCCATCAAAAAAGTCCATCACGAAAACTAGTCTGTCTCAATCCAGGAGTTTTCTGGGTTGAGATCAAAATTACAATTATACGGAATTGAACACTGATAGTTGTGAGCTCAAAATTGGGGCGGCTGTTCAACGCCGGTAACAAAATAAAATGAAATTGGCTCATATTGCTATTCAATCAGTTATTATTAATTCAGATATTATAATATTATTTAATGATGAAGTGTTTGGAAGAAATCTGTTAAGTCTAGCTAATTTAAGTTCATCAAAACGAAGGGAAGCTACTTTTTCAAAATACTTATACTTTGAAACAGATATCTGCGTTGTATATTTTGTATTATAACAGCTGAAACACATTCCTTAAATGTAACTTTCGCTAACTATTAGTATGTAAGTCTATGTAAGAGCACTCTCACGCTATTGAATAGAAGAAACACATTCATTTTATGACACCAATCTCTTCCACATTTTCCCATCTGACGGACATTATCCTCAAAAGAAAAAGAACTCTTAAAGATAGTGAATTCTAAATCTTCGCCCTTATCTCTTTTGCCGCTTATTTCACCCTGAAGAGCGTGTAGAAGTCGCTGCATTATTCCCATTATTGTTAAGATAACCGTTAAGATTGCGAGTAAAGGCGAATCTTTGGGGGAATAAGAGCAAAATCGCGCTCACCCTGAGAAGGGAGTTCATCGTTTTAAGGAATTAAGAAGGGCACAAAGAATCGAAATTGTCGCCATGGTGACAGGATTCTGCATTTCGAAAACAGACGACATAATTTTCCAGCATGTTAAAACAAGCAGAGAATACGTTGTTTGTTGGGAGGAAGTTTCGAATCTAAATCAAGGGGGCTGCAGTTTTAGCCCCTTTTGTCATTCCAATAATTAAAGTTATTAAATTAATTGCATGAAATTAATGACTAGCCTTTTATTTTTCAAAATTAAAATTAAAGTAACATATTAGAAGGATACTAAAACATGTCTTACCAAGACTCAGCACCCATTGATTCTATTGGACACCATTTCATATAATTTTATCACTTAGTTTTAATAAAAAAATTTTATATTTATATGCTTTCATCAAAAATTATTTCTATTTATATACTTTGATTATGTAAAAGTATAACTGGTTTTACTGTTGTTGGTCAGAATTTTAATTTGCAATGAAAATTTTTAAACAATATAAGAAATTTTAATCTATTATTCTCTTTACATTTTTATGACATATAAACATCTTTTTATTTGAGTCTTATAGAGTTTGTTTCATAGCGAAAATGAGAAAAAATCCACTATAAAAATGTCACATAATATGCAAAATTTTCTAAAAGTTAACATTTATCATTTTTATACATTAATTAAAAATTAGTTAGATTAAATTAATTGAAATTTGTTTTAAATTCTTTTTATAAAATTTATGAGTATACCTTCTTCTAAGCTACATATTTTGTGAAAAAACATATTTTCTACCTTTACTTAAATATCTGATCTCAGAAGGATATAATCACGTGGTTGTGCATGGTATGCTAACGTTACAGTTTTAAAGTTTCGGCTTATTATCACGTTGAATCAATTTTTGGAAAAAATTTAACTGGGTACCTGAAAGTGACGTCACGCGTATCTGCCGAACCTGATTGGCTGTCCCACGCTTAACGTTGCTTGCCAATATCCAATTAAATATATAGCCTGTGTTATATCTAATAACAGGTTATGTACTTAAATTTTGAGTCATATTTATGAATTGATTTTTAAATTGATCCACATAAAATGATCCAATTTTACTTAATAGGAAGTTTTGAACAAAATTTTAAATTAAGTTGCATTTTAGATGAATTAATACTAAAATGAAACTAAAATAAATGATATATATTAAAGCAAAACAGCAATAATTATTTTTATATAAAACATTTAAAAAATATTATGAAGTAAGAGCAAACAATGGTTAAACAAATAATGAATTTGTTATAAAATAGTAATAAATAATATGATCCGTGGGCGGACTTGCATGAAGAAAATTGCCTTCAAATTGCAGATGTTGTATATAGGATCACATTTAAAATTATTTTCTATCCGTGACACAACACTAAACAACCAACCAAATAATATGATAAAACAGAAATAATTATATTGAAAAAATATTAATAAAAATTGTAAAAACGTAAAAAATGTTATGATTAAGACATAATAAAAGTTACGATGAAAAATATGATAAAGGTAGGATTAAACAATAATTATTATTATAAAAATATCATAAATGTTAGGCTAAAAATCTAAAACAATAGTTAATGTAATAATAAAACAAACAAACAAAACAATTATGAAAATAATTCTTCCTCACATAAATATTGTATAAGAGTGATTTTAAGCAATTTAAAATTAGTTATAGGTTTCAATTTCTATGAATAATATCGTTTTTATTGACTTTTCATTTGGTTCATATATTTGAAAATAGGTTATGGAGTTACAATAAATTAATTTCACACTTTTTGATTTATTGTATCTGATAACAATATTTAAATACAATTATAAAAAAATTATTGCATACAATTATAAAAATAAAATTATAAAAAATAAGGCATGTTATATTTCTATAGTCATTATAGATTCATAAAATATAACTTATTGTTTGGCTGAAAAATATGAAAATATAGTAGGTAATGTCATAATTTTGGGTACTTATAAATAGTGTTTCAATAAAATATACATCAATGGAAAATAAAGCTTTACTCTAGAAATCAGGCATTGCAATTAAAAGTCAAGCCATTTTAATGATCAGTTTAAAATCAAACACGCAAAATCTTAACAGCGAACACAAGTTTCGTTTCTGCGAAACATAACCGCCCTCAAATTTTCGAAAGGCTTATTTTCTCGCATTTAAGTACGGAATAAGATTTAAACGGTTTAACACTTTCAGTAATGTCTCTCCTGGTCGAAAAATTTATGCTACGATAATTACCGCCCAGGAAAGNTATTATTGGTTTCGGAGATTGACCTTTGTGCCGCTAGGAATAATTTTTTAAAAAGTGCGGTTTCGCTGTCGTACCACTGTGCTTCAAAGGGTTAAGGAGACTAAACGAAGATTATATGAGCCCCAAGCAGTTTCAAACTCATGAGTTAAAGGAGACAGTTTCAAGACCCAATCAACTATGAAACTGGATTTGGGATCTGATGGGCTCGTGAAAAATGGATACTAAATATAGGGTTACTAGGACAGCCTATAGTTTATATGCACCCCCGTCAGAATTTAATTTTAAATAAAATGGTAGATCATTGATTTTTTTTATTTTTAGGATGAAATTTTTTTTTAACCATGTATCTTATTGTTTATCGCTCTCTACCTTTTTGTTTGATACTTTCACTTTTGTTCTCATTTGTTAGCTTTATTCCAGTTTCGATTTGAATCAGACTTAACTAGTAGTGTTTTTTTTTACGCTAGCTATAAACTAATTTTCTCATTTTGATATTTCTCAGAAATTTGGATATTTTTCAGTATATATTTTTTTCAGAATATTCTGGAGCTAAATTAACATTGTACTTTAGAGCAATGGTTCCCATAGGGCAGGGGTGGCGAACCTTTATACACCAACGTGCCAGTTTTTCTAAAAAATTGCTTAATGAGGTCATAGACGTGCCGTCAAATAATTCTGACTTCGTGATTATATATAAATTTAACAAANATTTTAGAGCAGTGGTTCCCATAGGGTGTTCACCAGAATATACAAATTCGGCTGAATGAGTATCCCAATTTTTGAATTTATAAAGTGTAACATGCTTCTCTATTTAATTTAATTTCAGCAAACCAATTCTTGCTTCTTGACCTAAAATTACATGTTCTCAATTTTAGCTCCATGATAAAGTTCAGAGTTCAACAATTCTGAAATAATTTTCATTTTCTTAGCTTTATTAGAAGTATTTGCATGACTTTTTCAAAAGTTCTTCAGGAGTCTCATGCAAAGCATAACAAACTTTTAAATGTAAAGTTTGCACTTTCTCATAATATCAGTTAGTATTAGTTTTTAAGCATTGTTTGCACTCTTATACTAATATGTTTATACTCTTTTACAAGTTAAGAAAAAAACATGACCCCAATGGAAGGAGCCTGTTTGCATCTAAGAGCACACCAAATGGGAACCAAGCTCCCAACACAAACGTATATCAATATTGTCAACCCTTGACACTTTTACGTAGCTTCCTTTCCTAATCTTACTTAATTATTAATATTAATAATAGTTATTAACAATTATAATCTCTTAACAAGTAATAAGAATTAACAAAAGTGATATTTAAATGTCGTAACAAATATACGTCTTTCTGTTCGTATTTAAAGAAACTGATGAAAGAATATTGTTTTTTTCCAGAAGATTTTCTTCTACAGCGAAACAAAAGCAAAAATCTGACATTTCTGACAAGGACATGTCAGCATAAGACGTGCCATATTTATGGGTCCAATCAAATCTAATGCTCTTGAGACGTCATATAGTTGTTTTTTTAAGAACGAAAGTTCTCCTTTTATCAAAATATGTCACCGAGTCTAGGATTCCAGCAAGACTACGACACTGAATCCTTTTTTTTAATAATTCTATGATATATATCGTAAAAGATAACATGAATTAAATTTCTGTCTGACGTGCTTAACTTTTAAAAGCTTTTATAATGTTTTGAAAGCATATTTGTGTAATTTGATTACGAAATAAAACGGAACTATATGCACTCTCGGATGATTACTGAAATCATATACCGTAATATGGTCCTCTCTTAACTTGCAGCGGAGTATAGATATGGTAAATTGCGTTTCTTTATTTAAGCAATCTTAATAGTTTTAATTCATATGTTTCACATGTTTTCATATGAATATTATAGTTAAGCAGGTGTGAATCTACAAATGAAAGCAGGAATTGAGGGATTGTAGGGGGGCTAGCAGAAAAATAAGTACAGACCAACGTTGTTCTGACCTGAGCAGGTGTCCATCTCTTCTGCGGGAGTTGTTCCATGGCGAGTCCTCATAGCGATAAGCCTTCCGTATCAAGGGTGCGCACGAACAGCTCAGCTTATTGCCCATCACCACATCTCACACTGTCACTTTCCCCACCTAAAATTCATCAAACGAACAACAATTTATAAAAATTCCAGACTTAATTGCATCAAACAACAGTTTATACACAATACCGGACTTAAATGCATCGAGCAATATTTGCATACAACACTAGCCTTAAATGTATCAAACAACAATTATATGCAATACCGGCCCTTAAATGCATCAAACAACATTTACATACAATAGCGGTCCTAAATGTATCAGACAGCAATTTATTTACAATACCTACCTTAATTGCATCAAACAATAATTGCATGCAATACCAACCTCAAAGGCATCAAACAACAATTACATACAATACCAACCTCAAAATCATCAAACAAACAATAAAAACTCTGCATAATGAAATGAAATTTCACATGAAATGCATTTAACTTTGAATACAAAAATTATATCTTTGTTAACTAATTAAAAATTTGAATAGTCAACTACGGAAAAAAACGTAAGGGATATAGTAATATATGGTTTGTTGCGTTCTGTTTAGGAAATCAGAAATTTGTTCTCGCCGAAGTTCTGAATTAGTTATTAAAGTTGTTAACCCTTTGATACAGATGGGGTCCAGTGCCTTTGACCAGTGCCTTTTCCTTATATTTTTTCTCTGATGCTCTAATTACAAGCAAAAATATATTTTAGTATTTTTTAATTATTAAAATAAATTTTTTAGATTATCGAAATTATATTAGTACGAAAATGAATAAAAAAAGTAGTTTAACGTTTTTTTCCTTCATGTTCAAAAATTTATCAATTGACTTTGAGAATTAAAGAAATTTCAATGAAGAATAACTCTTTTTCTTAGATCTAAACAACTGCAAATAAGTGCAAATTTGAAAAATTATTGTTTGGAAGATTTTACCTTTAACGCAGAAAAAGAAGACACCAGTGTTTCATGCTGTATTTCATAACCATAAAAAATTAAAATCATAAATATAAAACTTTTCAATTTTCTTTACCTAAATTAATATCAAATAGTGAAAAAAAATATGAAAAATATATTTAATAAAAATTTTGAGTCAAAGCTTTAGGAGATTGCGTTTCTAACTTCAAATATAAAAACCTACGATAACTATATAGCGTGTTTTGAAAATAACTATCATTCAAAGAAAATGTGTGGTCCAACACAATTTTGTTTGAAAACAAAATTAACAGACTTCCACTCATATTTTTCTCTTGGAATGATTTGATATTTTGCAAAAATCGTTGTTTTATAGTTTTTTCTAGGCAGTATCATCTTTTGATGAGCTTAGTAATAAAATTTGAAGGATATTTAAAAAAAAAGAAAAGATTACTCCTTTTTCTTAACAGAATATAGCAAAACATACAGTCCTCTGTCTTTCCATTTTTTTAATTAATTGTTCAAATAATTTGCAATTTTTTATATATCTTGCAATTGTAACCATGGAAACATTTCAAATTTCTGAAATTTGATTCGAATTTTGATCCTAAAAAATAATTGGCAAGTATGCTAAGTTGGATTTTTACCAACTTCAATCAGAATTTGTAAAGAATCGAATACTTGAGTTATGAAATTTATAAGCCAAAAACGGCTGCATTTTAAAATTTTCATTTTTCAAGAACTCTTTGACCGATTTCTTTAAAATTTTGAATTTTGTCATTTAACTATTCAAATCATAATTTGTGAAGTATCGAACAGCTCTTAAGTTATAAAGTTAATGCCGTTATAAAGTTAGTTATCTGTCGTTTAAGTATACGACATAGTTAAAACTGCAGTAAAAGTTTATGTACTTTTCAATTAAAAAAAATTTAGACTACTATTATTAAATAAATTGATAAAAATTATAAATTGCTATTAAAAACTATATTTTTGCATGGAATAATTTTTAGATAAACGAATTTTATAATTCTGTGCAATTTTTTGTTTTTGATTTACTAAAGATAAATTACCAGGCTATGACGAAATACGCAAATAGAAAGATTAAAGTTAAGGAAATCATTGGTTTTTAGTGCGGATTATTAGAACTAAAAGTTATTCAGGGAGATATTTTATTTTTCTGCTCTCTGTGTACAGGTTTGCTTTCTCGATCAGCTTTATCCTTCCTATACTTCTATCCGGCTTTTATTGACCACAAACATTTTATCTTTGTAATCACAACAACAAACTTTCTAAAGTCTTTACCAACATCCTTTGTTGCAAACATAAATTTTAATTACGATTCATCGCTGTTTTGAAGAATTTATGAAATTTTTTTCCTTAAGTTTTGAGCATTATCCTCACATATTTTAGATGATGCTATTGACGGAATTTATTTAAAAACGAAAATTTTTATATGTCATATTAAGAGACAGGTTTAAAAATTTTCGCTCCATAAAAAAATATCAACAGTACATTATTTAGCATTGATTTGGGAGATCATAAAAATTTCTCATAGAAAAATAATTATTTTCATTTCGTCTCTTATGGAAAAACAAAACAACATTCAAAACTTAACGCATCAGTGGTGAGAGCTCAAACAACAGCTTCTTGAGCACGTAACAACACTTCTCGTACGTCAACGATTTCAACCGAACACAGATTAAGAACAATAACTATTTTTTCTTGAAATCTAAAATTAACAAAAATAACTATCATAAATACCCTCAAAGCAAGTTCGAAGATTTAATTAAAAGTTCCTTTCATTGTTAGCAAGCGAAAACAAAATGAAAAAAAACTTACAAGTAGTTTTATTTGTAACCCCCAAGCAATTTTTTTTAGAAAAAAAAACAAGAATTCCATGTGGACAACTAAGTTGCATTGTTATTTTATTTCACCCGTTTTATTTTTGTTATTGCAACTTTTTTCTTCGTAGAACAAACTGCGATGTGTCAATTTTATCATTTTTATTTTGTGACCGTTCTGAGCAAGGTGGACCAAAATATTTACCTTTGGATCGATACTCCTCATTTTCTGGAACCCTCCCCCCCCCTTTCCCGGACTTCTATTTTCCTCTTTTTATCTCGTCTTTTCCTCCAACGGTTTACTTAATTATAAGCAAAAGTTCTTCTTCGAATCTGAGAGGTAAGAGTATTTTCATGGAGATCTTTGAGGTTGAGACGTTAGGTTTATTTGACAAGTTCCAACATCTATGTTCGATAATTGTAGAATAATTGATTGATTTCTATAATTGATTTGGGTATGGAAGTTCTTCTATTATCCAACACTAAATGAGTTAACGAAACTTTAGCAAAAAGAAAGTTCTTCTAAGCAAATAAATAGGAGAAAGTATGCACGGTGTTATACAACAGTGAAAGTACATACTAAGTCATTAAAATAAATTTGAATTCAAATAAATGACATGTAATTCGTTAAACCTATTAGAAATGTGCTATAGTATAATTCGTAATATAAATCAAAGATCGTCAAATAAATTCGTAATATATAAATTCGTGAAAAAAAGCGCTTTCGACAAAATACTAAAAGAGAGATCTATCGACAAAGACTACTCACTTCTGCCTAGCTTAATACTATGAGATTGCCGCAGCTGATGATCTCTGGTTATTTCCGTTTCCGTTTCTTAAAAGCGCTATTTGTTGAGCCACCTCAGCTAAATTTGGCATGTGACATTTTTAACGGCAATCATGGGTCGATTCGCCGTGTAAGAGAAATAGTAGCATAAGCAAAGCAAAGCAAACGTTGTCACCGGCGGAAAAGAAATACAGTCAAAATTTGGATGCCACGTAAGAGAATTATATATGTTAGATACATTACAATACATTAAAATACATTAGCAATGCCTGCTAGTGAAAATAAAAATAAAAGCAGCAGCGATCGCCATAGCAACGCATGCGCACTGTTTACTATTACTGTTGAACACAGTTGAAAAGTGTGTGCACGCCATCAAATCCAAACCAAAACCCATTTTGCCAATGGGTAATAAAATAAAATAAAGCGCCCTGAATGACTTTTGATCTAATGCTCAGATTTTCACGTACTAAAACTCAATATTAATGTTGGGCAAACTAATTTTCTAATTGTGTGCAAAAAATTTTCAATACGCTGAAACATTTTACAAGGTATGGCGAAACACTTAAAAAGTAAAATTGACATTAGTGTGTTCAAACTTTGGGGTGCGCTCCTGACCAAAATACAGGGAGCATATATTTACCAGAATTCGACTACCCGCTTTGTTTAGAGGGTCAAGAAAATCTATCAAAAAATGTATGTTTAATCAGAGACATTGCTTTGTGTCTGATTTCGATTCTTAGCCTGTTTACATCGAAGTGCCCGCCAAATGGATGATAAGCTCTCAATTCGAACATGTATCAACATCGCCAACTCTTAAAACGACGTTGCACAGCCTTCCTTTTGCTTGCTTTCTTAAATCGTGTGAAAGGAGGAAAATAAAACTTTTGTTTTGAAAATAAAACTTTAGTTTCGAATCAAAACTATTGTTTCACTAATAAGGATTGATAAAAATGATATCTAAAAATCTAATCGTAACAAATATATCGTTCGCATTTAAAGAAACTGATGAAAGAATAATAAATATTAAAAGGGAAATTCTACAATAACTTTAAATCTACATAATCTAAAATTGTTTTGAAAAAATAAAGACTAAGAAGTTTACTGTCTAAATTATCTTTCTTTGTTCTTAAGACTGTTTTTCGAAAGCTCTTTAGTAGCATGAAATGATGTTTTCGTGCAAATAATATGCTATTTTTATAACTGATTTGAGTTTGCAACAGTTACTCACGTATCGGTTAAACTTCACCGTCAGGTCAAGTTTAGCCGATTTTTAGTCAGCGCCCTCAGTATTTATTCTGAAAACATCAATATGGAGAAAAGTCAGTTTTTAGACAATGAAAAGCGTTTGTGATCTAATTTTTCAATATTTAGAAATTTACTCCAATGCTGCATTATCTGGGCTCATAAAAATTTGCAAAAAATGGGAATAAGACATTGCTTTTGATAAATTTTATCTAGGTGAAAAATGCTTCCAAATGTGAGATTTTTCAAAAAGTTTAAGAACTTTTAAAATATTTTAGTTATTTGTCCGTTC